AAGAATGTTATGAAAAAATAATTTATAGCATTTATAGAGTGTAAGCTAAAATCATTTATAGTTATGATTAAGTGCTATAGTATACTCAAGAATAGCATTTTATTACACTTATTGAAAGTTCATTTATAACTTTCAATAAGTGCAACAAAATAATTAGTAATAACAAGTTTTAAGTGTTACCAAAGCCTCATTTTTTGGTAACATGAGCTTTAATAGCATACTCATTAATGCTACCCTTTACCCTAGTTAGTAAATACGGGTACGGCAAAAAAACGATACGGAAATTTTACGGGTATAATACGGCAAACAATGAAAAATACGTTTATAAAAATTCGGCCATAAAATTTGGATACGGAAAAAATACGGTACGGGTTTAATACGGTGCATTGTCAATAATACGTTTTGAAAAATACTGCAATATCAATCTTAGTTTTAATACTTTTATGGATTACTTGACTAAAATCAATATAGTATTTTAAATGTAAAGTATTCAATTAACCAATAACACAAATATATAATATATAACTGATATTTAAATTATAGTCTCCAGACTCAAACACAATATGTAGCAATGATTCTTTACTAATTTAAAACTTGATAAGTTTGTATGCGTTTGGTTTAATATTTTTATCCCTATTCTGGATCCTATTTTTCAAATAGCGTTTGGTACAATATTCTCAAAATATTACCCTATTTTTTTTATTACATTTTAACCCCATAAGGTTATTAATTTCACTAAATACCCCCTGAAAAAAAAGTTTAAAAATTAACAAAAATACCCCCATTAACCCAACTTGTCAGATTCCGGCAACCACCGTCGGTGATAGCCGGAATCTGTACAACGGCCAAACTTCCGACCAGAAATGGCCGGAAGTTCACCGCTGTGGCCTTTTCCGGCCAGATCCACCACGGATCTGGCCGGAAAAGGCCAGATCTGGCCGTCGTGACGGCCAAAGAAATGGCCGTCGTTGACGGTCAACGACGGCCAATCTTGGCCGTCGTTGACCGAAAACGACGGCCACTACTTTGGCGTCGCTGACAGCCAAAGATGGCCGTCGTTTGGCCTTTTCCGGCCGTCGACGGCCAAAACAAACCGTAGATCGGCCTTTTCCGGCCAGATCCACCATGGATCTAGCCGGAAAAGGCCATAACGACGTGTTACGGCACAGATCCGACAAGTCTTGCCGTAACGAAATTTTCCGGCCAGATTCCGGCGGTGGTGGCGGATATGACACTGCAGATGGTGGGGGTGTTTTTGTCATTTTACATTAGGGTCTTTAGTAAATTAGTAAACCTAGGGCTTTTTTATAAATTTTTAAAATTTACCTCGTAATACCCATATCAATAACCCAATACTATCCCTAAAATCCTATCCAAAATACTAAACCAACGCACCCAAATATTAAATGCAACCAATTTTAACTTTCTATATCCATTAAATTATTTAAATCAAAAACTAAAATTTGTCCACAAATCTATAAAAGATTAGTGTTACAATAGTCTAACTATTATTTTATACCTATAATATATGACAGTTTTTTTTCATAATAAATTATTATTTTAATTTCATTAATCCAATCTAATTTATTAGATAGCATGGAAATAATTTAAAATATGAAATGTGTTTTGACTCAATATCATAATTAAGCAAATTACTATTTAATTCAAGAAAATTATTCATCACAAAATGAATACAAAGAGGTAAGTGAAAACGTAAAATATACATATTACTTTTGAGTTTAAAATGTAAAGGTGTCAGGTGTGGGGGAATAGGGGGGAAAGTGGATGTCTTTGGGCGGGTTAGTTTTTGTATTCCCCCCCTTTTAAAACGATGTCGTTATACTCCAATAATTCACGAATAATTCGGCAGTCCTTTATAAAATACGTAAATACGCATTTTATATGCGTATTTACTAACTAGGCCCTTTACTTTTGGTAACACTTTTTGTATGTTACCATAGATCATTTTTGTTGTTGTATAACATAGTTCTTTCCATCTAGTCTTAGGGCATCATATTGAATCTTCACAAGGTTCAGCATTTCCAAAAGCTATTCGCTAATAAGAGTAACGTAATTAGTGTACATGTCATATTAACCTATAAAAAGATCATATATTAATCTCAGAAAAAGCTTTAAAGCTTTAGCTATTAAGGTAAAAGAATCATATTAGGACTTTAGGTTCCTTAGAATATTGTATAACTTAGAATTTTACTTTATCCTACAACGATAAGTAATTTTCTTTCCTGAATCCTCATTTTTTGGATGCATGTCATAGGATGCATTCAAGCATCCAAAAACAATAATGAAAATATAAATATAAAAGGCGATAATTGTAAAGGAACAATAAATTGCATAAAAAAAAAAAAGAATAATAAAATGACATTAATAACAATAAATTGCGTGTAATAAAAGAAAAGCAATGATTAGAGTTAGAACTTCAAATTCTAATACCAGAATCTTGAAACTTAGAAGTTTAGGTTTTGAATCCATATACCAAAATCACAGCCCAAGACTTTAGGTTTTGACATTTGAAACTTCAGACTCTAACATAAAAATCAAAATTTTAAATTCAAAACTTTAAGTTCATGATTGGGGACTAATTCTTAGAATTTAGGGTTCTTTTATCATTTCTATTTACAAACTTCATTTTGCCATGATTTTTGATGTCTCTAGTAATATAATAGAAGTCAAAGAAATAAATACATAATGCAATTAAGTCAAAGAATAATAAAATAACAATAATAACAATAAATTGCACGTAATAAAAGGAAAGCAATGATTAGAGTTAAAACTTCAAGTTCTGATATCAGAATCTTGAAACTTAGAACTTCAGGTTTTGAATCCATATATCAAAATCACAGCCCATGACTTCAGGTTTTGACATTTGAAACTTCAGACTCCAACATAAAAATCAAAATTTTAAATTCAAAACTTCAAGTTCATGATTGGGGATGATTCTTAGAATTCAAGATTCATTTATCATTTCTATTTACAAACTTCATTGTTAAATAAGTGAAGCATGCGACGTCGTTTAGACCAGGTAACAAAACGCTGTCGTTTTGTCTATCAGTCCAAATGAATCACAACCATCAAAGTTAAAGAGAATCCAATGGCTCAAATGCAATCAGAGGTCAACAGTATAAAAAGGGACTATTCACGCATTTGGCAGACAGATTGAGTTAAGGGTCTTCATTTTGTTTTCTCTGTAAAATCGTTTCATCTGGGTTAGGGTTTCACGTTCATTCTAGTTCTTCTCTGTGTGAATCTCTCTAGAGTCTTGTTTGAGGGCAGGGGTTCCTTAAAGGGTATAGAATACTCTAGGATTTGTTGGGATTTGTGGGATACAGGGAAGTGAATGAGTGTTTGATTTTGTGGTTGACAGTGAAGAAGATTCATCTGTAAATTGTAATCTTTGAAGTGATCAATACTAGTGCAGCGAGCTCCATATTCTGGAGTTCAACGTGGATGTAACTTGTTCTATATTGAACAAGCGAACCACGATATATCTTGTGTTGTGTGATTGTTCGTTGTTCTTGCATTTCTGTTTTGTATTGTGACTAATCTTGCAGGTAGAAAGATTGGTATTGATTTGCACAGTGGTATCAGAGCCTTTTAGGTCTAAATCGAGTCTAGGGTTAGAAATCGTTCAACTCTTGACGAACTCAAAAATTAGGTTTGTCAGATTTTGGGGGTTTTTCGATTTAAAGGTTCCTAGATCATTAGGCTATCAAATCTTGTTGAGTCTTGGGACTAATTCGTGAGATTAGTTCACATACATAAGGGATCGGCGAAAATAGGGCAAAATCAAAATTAGGGTTTTGTCAAGATTTGGGGGTTTTCTTTTTTAATTAGGGTTTTGAATATCTTTTGAGTTTGTTTAAGGGTATATAGGCTGGAAAACCAGTGACTGTCTTAAAAACTGCCTGGCAGTATTTGGCAACTTTTGGTGTAACAAAGCCATGTACTCCTTATACTGCTCTGTCTTGTCATTGTAAATATGATGAACACTACCACGCGTGTAGAGATATCCCAATATGATGGGAAGATGGATTTCAATACCTGGAAGAAAAAGATGAAGCCACTTTTATCCCACAACAAGGTGGGAATAACAATGGAGAAAGATGAAACCAAGTGGTAAGAAGAAAAGACGAAAAAGAAAGCAGAGATAGATGAAAAAGCATACAATCTGATAATCATGAATTTATCAGATAGTGTTCTGCGAAAAGTGGATGGTCTTGACACACCAATAGAGCTTTAGGGTAAACTCGAAACTCTGTATGCATTGAAATCTGCTCCTAATTTAGCATTCTTGAAAGGTGCTCTGTTTTCTTATAGAATGGATGCCTCTAAGTCATTAGAAGAAAATTTAGATGAATTTCTAAAAATGACATTAGTGCTAAAAGGAACTGATCAGGAATTAGGAGATTCTAGTCTTGCAATGATTTTGTTAAATTCTCTTCCTGATGAATATTTAGTAGTAAAGAATGCATTACAGTACACTGGTACAGTCCCTAGTGTAGATCTAATAATGGCTGGCTTAAAATCCAGAGAACTAGAGTTGAAAATACAAAAGAGAAATGGGAATAATCTCTTTGTAAAAGGAAAACAAGATACTGGTCATTTTGGTAAAGATACTGGAAATGGGGTTCAACAAAACTTAGGGCCAAAGAATAAGAAGAAAGGCAAAGGCTATAATAACAATAAGTCTAAGTCAGAGACTAGAAAGTGCTTCCATTGTAACAAACCTGGTCACATAAAAAAGAATTGCTATGATTGGATTAGGAAGCAAAAGCAGAATTATACAGAGAGTAACCTAGCATCCTCTAATAACAGCTTTGAAATCACTGAAGCCCTTACTGTGTCCAGTTCTAAAATTGCTAATGAATGGGTGCTAGACTCAGGATGTTCCTTTCATATGAGCCCTAACAAAATCTGGTTTNATAAAGGAGAGTAAGTTTGTGGATTTACCAACGGACGTTCTACATCGACAAATATGGAACTTAAGCTGTACTCTGTCTCAAAGGAGAGTAAGTTTGTGGATTTACCAACGGACGTTCTACATCGACAAATATGGAACTTAAGCTGTACTCTGTCTCAGGAGAATAAATGTGAGGAAACAAGTTTTCATCGTCTTTAGTTGTATCCAACATTAGTTTATCGACCATCTCTTTCATGGGAAGTTCAGCTTCACCATATTTCTCCAAAAGTCCTTTGAACCTGTGGCTCAAACGCTCAGCCTGAGAAAGAAAAATGGTATAGAGAATTTATTCTAATATGTATTCACAGGTAAGAAAATTTAAGTATAAAATGCAAGAATTGGCAATTGAATCGATTGAGTTGTATAAAACATATTACCTTAGGCCATGGAGAGTCCAACCTTCCATTTGTTAGTACATGGATTCCCGGTGAAACCTCTGTCACAAAACTTTTACTTTCTGGTCTGTTGGTTATGTACACCATGGACTTGGAATAAATGTCAGCTATTACCAGGTTAAACCCATTATACTGATCTATCTCCTTCACGAAATCCTCTGCAAAATCCATGGGACTTTTCTTGCTCTGCAAAAAGGAAAGTTTTGACGATTATCCAAAGTTTTTAAAAGAATCATTTTAGCAAAAGAAACTAGTCCCCTTGAACCTTAGTGAATTCCTTCAAACAAACATCAAGATAGCAATTTTCATTCAATAACTTAAGGGAAACATTAATCTGTTAGGATTCCAATATCTTATTATTTTATATTGCATACAAACTATTAATGGTTAATTTTATTATAAAGGGAAGAATAAACGTATAATTTTCCCAAATCTCTCTCTAAATTCTCCCTGCTGTTCTATTTTCTCTCTAAAATGTCTCTTCTTATTCCCTTTTCATTAAAATCTTCACAAAAAGCCCTAAAATTTTGGTATCAGAGCACTTTCCTGGTTGCCTAAATATGAACCATAAAGAAGTTGAAGATAAGGTTAACTCTTTGACCCACCAAATAGAATTACTACCTGATATATTAGAGCGTACTTGCACAAGTCTAGATAAACTGCAACCTGCAGAAAATGTTTCACAACATGGCCATCCTTGCCAGACACAAGTACATACTTGGAGGTGTCAAATTACAAGGACTCACTAAACAAACTGACTTTCCATGACCCAATTGCATGGATATTTCTTGGAGCAATATCAATGGGTTACGGTGTTACTGAGGTACTTATGATGACTTTGGTTGCGTGAATGCTGATGCCTCCAGTATTAATTTGAGTGATGACAATGGCAGTGGATTAGAAGTCTTTGTTATAGATCCTGGATGATGATTTGATTTGGCTTGTGCTTGAGGAAAAGCCTTCTTTCAAGGGGCAAGGAATGCTGTGATTCCATTATCTTAGTATTAGATTAGGATTAAGTTTTTTTTTAACTGTTTACATTTAATTTTCCCATACCTCACTCAAAATTCTCCCTGTTTGTTCTGTTTTCTAGCTAAAGAGTCTCTTCTTGTCCCCATTTCATTTGATTCTTCACAAAAAAAAAAAAACATAATCACCAGGAAACTGTTCTAGACAAAGGCCTCTAATTATCCCTTAATGGCACGAAGCAAAAATCTCAAACATATCACCAGCATAAACATTTGATAAACCAAAAGCAAACCCTAAAATAATCAAACATAAAACTCCCGTAACCAAACAGTAAGTACCTGCAAAAAACGAACAGGAAGGTCTCCTCTGCTCTTAGCTTGAGGGATTGATTGAATCTCCCTAACATTAGTAAGAAAAGCAAATTTACCATGTTTAGAAGAAGCCAACCATGTCCCACCAGCCATCTCATCTTTCCCTCCCAGAATCTCTCCTCCTTCCCACCATTCCAATGGCTTGGTAGGCCTTGCAAAAAACAAAACCCACAAATCAAACAACAAAATCAACCCATAAAACCATATCAGATTCTGAAATGAGTGATTACCGGTTGTGATACTCGTCTCTGTTAAGTAGTAAAAGAAAAGGGTAAAGTGGGTGAGCTTCCCACATAAACACTGCTATACACATGGCTTTTGCTTGCTTTTTAATTGTTACTTGATGTGGCTGTTTCTGTTTGTGTAAAATGAAAAGGTCGAGTCCTCTGCCTTCTTCTTACAGGACGTTACTTCCGGTATCGGTTTTGCCACTTCCCCAGACCGAATCTTGAGACGTGTTGGTTGGACGTACTTGACAAGTACAAGTGGGTTGTTGGCCAAGTAGGCCATGCCAAGTTTGGCATTCCAAATCCAAGACTATGCCTTAACATGTGCTAATTTAATTATTATTTCTTTTACATTTTCACAAATTCAAGACAGCAACTAATAAAATTATCTATATTAATGCTATTATGACAATACATTTTACAAAATTTGTTATCATAAATAATTTGGATCAATCAAATAAAGAATGAATAAATATTGTTGATATTTTGGATGGCCTATGGGTTTTGGTTGAGTGAGAAAATGGGAATGGGTTTGATAATGCAACTCTAGCATCTACAAAATGAGGAAAAAAAAAAGTCATTAAGAAGGTGGCCAATAAGTAGTGGTGATCGGGTCCAGGTACCCACCCTTTTTCCAAGGAATTAGAATTGAAGCTGGACGGTTCCAGATATCTAGGAAAATTATGAAAACCCCCTACTATCACAAAAAATGACACATATACCCTTTGAAAATTACAAACACACCCCCATAGTTTTCAAAAATTACAAATACACCATTAGTACCCATCGGGTCCACCTCGAGAACCTGAAGATCGATTCTGGTTCCAATTCCTGAAGTGGTGAAACTAGAACCGGAACTGGAACCCCACAGTGCCGGTTCCACCAAATTTGGAATTGGAATTGACACTTTCCATGCTCGTTCCGAGTAGGAGCTAAAACTAGAACCACAAGCACCCACCGGTTCCGGCTCTATCGGATTTCTTGCTCACCCCTACCAATAAGGGTGTTTTGGCCTTGCAAATACTCACTTGGTAAACTTACTAAAATTAAGATTATTCTTGAAGTGTATGCATTCTTTAAAATAAAAACATTATATGAAAAGTACACATCTCTGTCACTGAATTGTAACCTTTAGTACTATTTTTCCCAATTAGAATAAGTCTTCTACTTCATCCTATTAGGCACCTCTTGAAATCGATGTAAACCTCTGTCATCAAGGGTTTATGTTGATGTTATGCCTGAGAAATCAAGGGCTGACATGGGAAATCACGTGATAGAGTGTGACCTGCTCCCGTCAGAATTGTAAGCGCACGCCAGGCTTGCTAGACGTTGTGGAGACCCCACGTGTCCATTCTCTGCTCCAAATCGCGTGAAAGCAGTTTGGAAGGTGGGCAATGTGACGTAAAGCCGGATTTTGTCTTGACATTCACACCAACCCATGGATTTAATGATGATTACTTGCGCTCATCTCACTATAAAAAGGGGAAGACCCCTTCATTGAGGGGATTCGGCCTTTTTACACTCTGAACTATCTCTCTCTCTCTCTCTCTCTTGTATCTTTGTGTTTACTTTTCCCTAATCATTTGTAAGTCAGTCCGCTGTTGCGACCTGACCCACAATACTAATACAACTATCAGTGGACGTAGGGCCTACTACCTTAGCATCCGAACCACTTTAAAAAGCTCTTATTATTGCATTTACTCTACACGTTATCCGTACCCACGTATGTCTCTTGGCCAACCAACGTTACTCACGTGTCGATTAGTTGGTGTCAAAATCAGGCATCAACAGTTTGACGCTAGAAGGAGGGCCCTATTTAGTGTTCATCCTTCATCAGGAGAATCTCTAACCTACTGGTCCTACAGGAACAAATGGCCTGCCAATCTGAACCTGAGCAAGTCAACCAGCGCATTGAGGGAGTTCCCTTAACCCAGGGGGATACCTCTTCCAGGATACTTCCAGTTCCACAAAATGCTGCAGTGGATATCCCAGCAGTTTCGTAGCTTGACCCGCCATCAGAAGCTACCTGGAGAGGTTTGACAATATTCTCCAGACGGTCAACGAAAGGCTGGACCGTTTGGACCAAGGCGTGCCATCTAGAACAGCTGGGGCGGTGCAACTGCAAAAAACGTCTGCAGGTCACACAAAAGCACGGCAAAGGGAAATAGCCCGTGCTGCGAGCACTACAGTGTGTAGATGTAAGGGTAAGCAAGTGGCAAAAAGCAAGCCTACGGGCTCTAAAGGGCCAACAAACACAAACCGTGCCCCAGGCAAGGTGCCAGCAAAGTTAAGACTCGACGAAAAAGTGAATCCCGAGCTGTCCCATGCCACGTCGCAGATGAACCTAAGCGAAAGTGCTGGGCGGGGTGATTCTTATCACCGCCAACAGAACGATCTTGATCGTTGTCATGCGGGTGGTCCCCACACCTCGCGGGGCGGTTCGTACCACCACGAGGGTCGTAAAAATACCTCGCACCATCCATCGCCTTCACACGCCTCTAGCCAGCATGTGTTGAGAGCGGCCGGAAGTGCCAGTCGAGGCGAAGAGGAGTCCGACCTCCGGACTTTCCTAAACCATAATCGCGAGGGCCGGACTCACATGGGTGAAAGCAATCCCCAACTGGCTCCGCTACCACAAATTGAGGAGCTGCAGCGAGCTCTGGACAGGCGGAGAGAGCGGCAAAACGAGCAGGCCCATGTCGCCTCTGCATCCCCCTTCTCTCTCGAAGTGTTAGCTGCTCCACTCCCACCGGGGTTCAGAATGCCCGACATGCGGCCGTTTGATGGGAACCATGACCCACAGGATCATTTGTATGAGTTCAACGACCTGATAGAGCTCCACCAGGTTTCGGATCTTGTAAAATGTCGTTGTTTGGCCGTGACTCTAACTTCTCATGCCAAACGGTGGTTAAGTCGCTACCAGCGGGATCGATTAGTTCGTGGCCTCAGATGAGCACGACGTTCCTACGGCATTTCCAAGCAAATCGAAAGTTTTCGATGCCTTTGAGCTATCTCAGCAACATAAGGCAAGAAAGGGATGAATCCCTACAATCCTACATCGACCGTTTCCACAAGGAACTCAACAAGGTGGCTCATGCCCCCGAAGAGTCCATCTGAACACTCATAATAGTTGGAGTTCGCCTGCAAACTGACTTGTGGAAAGAATTACAGGCTGAGGACTATGTTTCCCTCACCAGATTCTATAACCTCGCGGAGAAATACCTCAGGATAGAAAATTCGCTAGCGGCACTCCGCTGTAGTGACTCCGGTGCTTCTGGCAGTATGTTTGAAAGCCGAAGGGCTGATCGCAGGGGGGCCGCCGATGATCAGCGAAAAGGGAAGAAACCTCGCTACGAGCCCAGAAAGTCCTATGCACCAGTTCCTCATCGCGATCGCGACAGGCACCAATATACTCCACTAAATGCCTCTGTATCCGCCATTCTTGATAAATCCGAAGAAGCCAGTCTGCTCGGAGAGCCCGAGCCCATGAAAACCCCTACGACAGCCAGAAATAATAAAAAGTACTGTCATTACAATCGGGACAATAGGCACCATACTGATGAGTGCCGAGCTCTGAAGCAAGCAATCGAAAAGCTTATCAAGAAGGGGCATTTCAAGGAATACATCGATGACTCTGCTCCCTCAAAAGAGAAAGATCGAGGGGAGCCGAGTAAGAAGCGCCGTGATCAGAAAGGGGTATTCAGTCTTAATTTGATTTTCGGGGGGTCGCACTTCGTTGGGAATTCGCGAGGTGTCCAAGAAAGGTATGCTTGCGAAGCACATCATGACCCCATTAGAGTAATGAATGCGGATCAGCGACCATGAAAGGTTCGCAGGGACGTGGAAATCTCCTTCTCTGAACAGGATGCAGCCAGGTTGCATCATCCCCATGACGACGCCCTTGTAATCACTCCCCTGATAGGGTGCTATAACACCCAGAGAATGTTAGTGGATAACGGAAGTGCTGTGAACATCTTGTTCGCATCCACTTTTGAAAGAATGAATCTGGACCAAGCTGACCTGAAGCCCGCCTCGTTCCCGCTATACGGATTCATGGGAGACCATCTACTCCCAAAGGGAACAATCTCACTACCAGTCACGCTGGGCGATTCTGACGAAGTGACCAAAGTAATTGAGTTCTTAGTGGTGGATTGCCCATCAGCCTTCAATGGGATCCTCGGGCGACCTCTGCTAAGATAGTTCAAGGCAGTCACTTCAATTTACCATCTGAAGATGAAGTTCCCCACCCCGACGGGGATTGGGGAAGTCAGTGGTTCTCAGCGCGCATCGCGCGACTGCTATGTAAAAGTGATCCAGATGGTGTACAAAGGAAAGGGCATCGCATGTGGCAATCACAGGCAGGCCATGGCGATCAGCAGGGTCGATCCACGACCCGGTCCAGCCGAGGACAACCTAGACCCTCGCATTCAAGGCTGCCCTTCCAGTGGGCCAGTTGAGGACCTGACTGAAGTGATGGTCGACCAGAAAGAGCCGAGCAGGGTGTTAAGAGTCTGTAAAAATCTCAATCTCCAGCTTGCTACCAAGCTAACAGGCTTCCTCAGGAAAAACATCGATGTGTTTGCATGGTCGCACGCAGATATGATCGGGATCAGCCCGGATGTCATTTGCCATGCATTAAATATCGATAGTGAAGCCAAACCAGTTCGCCAGAAACAAAAAGCGATGGATCCAGAGCGGTACTCCGCCCTAAAGCTAGAGGTGGACAACTCCTCAATAACGGGTCCATTCGGGAGGCACTATACCCAATCTGGGTCACCAACCCGGTCCTGGTAAAAAAGCCCAATGGTAAGTGGTGAACCTGCATCGACTTCAGCGACCTCAACAAAGCTTGCCCTAAGGACAGCTTCCCCTTGCCAAGAACTGACCAGCTCATGGATGCCACCTCGGGACACGAGCTGCTAAGTTTCATGGACGCATACTCGGGGTATAATCGGATTTCGATGTATGCGCCAGACGAAGAGCACACATCTTTTATTACAGATCGGGGACTGTATTGCTATAAGGTCATGCCCTTCGGCATCAAGAACGCTGGCGCGACCTACCAGCGGCTAGTTAACCGGATGTTCTCCGACCAGATCGGCAAGTCAATGGAGATCTACGTAGATGACATGTTGGTCCAATCCCATGTCGCTTCAAATCACGTAGCGCATCTCGCAGAGATCTTTGATATCCTCCGGCTGTATAGAATGAAACTGAACCCACTTAAGTGTTCATTCGGGGTATCCTCGGGTAAGTTCC